TTAAATAAAATTAAGAAAAAAGAAATAATATTTTCTCGCGATTCTTATGTTCGTTCTTATTTCTGTTTAGCCAATTGATTATTGCTTCAGCATTATTATTTATGCAATGCCACGTCATTTGACATATTTTATCTACCATAGACATAGTTCTAATTTGTAATAATGATATCACAATCACAAGAGCGTTTAAATCCAAAAGATGACATATGCGGCAATTCATGATGTTGGTTCAGAAAGAACTCAGTATCGTCTGGATTTAAATAATCTTGTAATTGTGGAACTATTGTTACAAATTTTGTAAGAGATAAAATATGTCAAATAAGGTGTCATTCAGCAGATCTCTAAAAATTATGTCAAATAAAAAAAATCATCTGATTTAAATACCCGAATCAAAAATTATAATCTTATGAAAATTAGCTTTACGGTGATGAAGTTGTCTATTGTGAAACTGACATAGCAAGAAATCTCATCAATATCATAATTAACATTAATTGTTTAGGGAGGTGTTTTTATTTTCAGTGTTATTTGAAAAATTAACTTTTTCAGTTATTTTATTTCAAAATCCATTGGTTAATTTTTTTAATATTTTATTTCAGTTATTTTTCAAACCGGATAATTTATTCTTTTCAATCAATGAAATAGTTAGTTAATTTGAAACTCATACCAAAAAAACAAAACTCATAATTGTTTTCCTTTTCACTTTATAAATAAATTTCATTTATCAACAATGGTGAAATAATATTATTTTATAATTTGTTAATTTTTTTATAGGACTTACTAAATTATATAGCATGTGCATAATTTGAATTATGTTAAAAATATAATAAATTTTAAATGTATAAAGTATAATAATCACTATTATTTTAATTAATTAATTTCTTTTCATGCATATAATATGATAAGTCTTTGCATATTTTTAGTCTAAGACATGTACAAACTACAAAGTACTGTGGAATGAAATTTTGATTTTGACACTATGAATATATTTCTTTTACTTTTAATATATTTAATTATTTTACCTCTTGTAACGTTATTCTACATATAATCTTACCAAATGATTCTTATGCTCGTAATGCTCATTAAAATCATTACATTATTTCCCGTTTCTTGGAACAATATCTCTTCAAATAAGAATTTTTCATTATAATTATTATTATTTTATTTTTTTTTCTTTTTTTATAATTACTATTATTTCAATTTATTTATTTCCGTTTGAAAGAGCACGCAATTATTTATATAGACTTTACGTGACACAGTACAAAATATTGCAAAATGAAATATCAACAAAATATTTTACTGGATTCTTGCCACTTTAAGAATCATTAAGAATTAAGAATGATTGTAATATATTTTTACTTGATAATTTAAGATTATCTTAACCAATTCCATCATTTTTCGCTGAGAAAATAGTCCATATGAACTCCACGTTGCCCACAAAATGCTTATTTCTATAATTTATCTTCCTATCAAGTACCTATCTTCTACTTTTTTGTGCTTTGAATTTACTAACTATATATACTGGTTTAGTGTGTTGGAGAATCAAATAATTTTTATTTTTAATGTGAATTAATTAATTTTTAAAAATAGATTAGATTGATGGAGATTCCTTATTAAAATCATTTTAAAAATAAAATAGTTTGACAGAAAAGTTGATTAATCGATAAGAATTTGATAGGAATAATTTGGTCACTACTATACTCTTACTGCCTTAACCCGATAAGTGATTAATAGATAAACAAACAGGGAAATATAAAAAAATTAATTAATTGATACCAAAAAAAGGTACATTTATCAAAATCTTTGGAGTTCTTTTTAAATCTATATATATATATATATATATATATAATATAAAAAAAATCATTTTTATAGCCGCTTTACGTACAACAACGATAGGTGTATGATTATATTTTTCCACGTTTAATACTTTCATCCTTTGTATGGTTATGATTTTCCGCATTTAATGTTTTCAAGTATATATATGGCAAGTATTTGATTGCTGCCATAGTGGTTAAAATCTCGATTTATCACTACGATTTTGTGTTTTTACGATTTTTTTCATCAAAATGATTTTATCAATATTCCAAACGCTTTTACTATTTTTTACGATTTTTTTACATTACGATTTTACGTTTTACGATTTTTTAGTCCCCTTCCGATTTTACTTAATATCTCGATTTTAACAACCTTGATTGCTGCACGTACAGTCACGGTAGAAATGTAACCCCCCCCCCCACACACATATATATATATATGATTTAATGTTTCTAAAGGGAATGTAGATAAGTTATCTACATTCGCTCTCAAAATGACGTCGTTTTGAGTTGAAAAATTAAAAAATTATAATGAAAATGACTATTATAACCCTCTAATAAATTATAATTACAAAAATACCTTGATTTCCGCCTCAAAACGACGTCGTTTTGGGCACAATGTAAATAAGTTATCTACATTGACTGTAAAAAAAATGATATATATATAATTCATTTTTCTGCAGTTACTGCATATAAGTTATCTACAGTAAGTCCAATGTGATGTCATTTTGGGACGAAAATCATAATATTTTTGTAATTTCAATTTATTTCAGGATTATTGTAGTCTTTATAATTATAATTTTTTAATATTTCAATTTCAAAATGACGTTATTTTGGGAAGAAATGCAGATAATTTATCGCATTAACTGCTGAAATATTTTTCTCATATATATATATATATTGATGTAGGATATTCTTACTACCCATTTTTTCTACTACCACTCCACTACCACTTTAATCACCATTGAATTCAAAAGATATTTTTTCTCTCTCTCTTCATTCAACTTTTTATCTAATCCAATAATGATGAGAGTGGTAGTGAAGTGATAGTAAAAAAATGGGTAATAAAAATATTCTAACTCATATATATTATCATTTATCGAAAACATTGAATTAGGCTGTTATGAACACAAACTTGATAATAAAAACTTTGCCGATCTTCTTATGCTAATAATAATTGATTGATTTGTACAGCATCTGCAAGTGTCATAGAGATGACATGAAACTTCCGGTTGAGGGAGAAATTAAATATGCTCGTGAAAAAGATTTCAATTTCATCTCTGATAGGTTATTTTATTTATTATTTTCTTATCTATCTTTATCTATCATTTTATAATACTGTTAGATCGAAAGCTAAAGAGAAGATAAAAAAATAAATGTTAATTAAGATTCTGATTTAATAACTTTTTAGTATAATAGACAAAGATAGGTAGAAAAATAAAGTGATGAGTTAATAATTTTATATTAATATTTATAACATGTCCGTTAATTTTAACTTACATCTTAATTTTATTAGAAAATAGAGTGATGAATTATTATAAGTTCTAATATAGTATACAAATAATTCAATTGTTACAAATAAGATTTTCATTTTATTTGATTTAATACTTTTTTCTTCTTTTTCAATTTAAAGGATATTATAATATTATGAGTAAAGCATTTATCCAATCACTTTGAGATAACTTGTCTCCGGTGACCCCTAAACCTATGTCATTTTGAATTGATGAATGATGTTTTCGTAACTTTAAGAAAATTAATAAAGGACATTTTAGTAAAAATAATAGAAAAAATATTTGTCATTTTAAATGAAATAAAATTATGTCATTTTAAGACCGAGATAGACACAAAATAATTTTTTTTATTTAAATTTTTAATTAAAAAAGCCACACACTTTTCTTCCATGATTTCTATTTCTTGTGTCTATCTCTATATTAAAATGACATAATTTATATCTTTTAAAAGGACAAATATCAAACAAAAATTTATATGATAAAAAATTAAGCAAAATTATATAAATATATTTCATTAATTTAAAACGACGTAATTTTGAGGATTACTAGAGATAACTTATTTCCAGTGATCGGAGAAATATTTTACCCATATTATTTATTATTATTTTTATTTTATTTACATTCTAAATAATAGAATGAAATTTTTTATTTTATTGTAAATCTTTTAAAGCAACAATATGATTATTATTTTTATTTTAGTCCATACCATACTTTTAAATATTGAAATATAGCTTCAATATTGCTTTATATTTTAGGAGTAATAAGACTTGTTTTTTTGGTTTTTTCATAACACATCATCGTGTGATTTAGTTTATGGGAAAAGTACGAGTCACCGGAGATAAAGTTATCTCCAGTGAGCTCAAAACGATGTCGTTTTGAGATTATAAGATTAAAATATTATAATGATAAAGACTAATATAATCTTGCAATATATTAAAATTATAAAATACTTTGATTTTCACTCCAAAATGACATCATTTTGAACTTACTGAAGATAACTTATCTCCGAAAAAAACTTTTACCCTTAATTTATATGATAAAGATAATAAATTGCATTCTGAGGATATTCCGTAAGGACATAGTTAACGGTGGAGTTGGGCCTGAGATTGCTTCCGTCACGTTTGCAAATTGCAAATTTTTTGTTTTTGATTATATTCATATTTAAAAGAAAAAAAAATAGTGTAACATAAGTTAATTGTCTTTATTTTTTTTATATATGAGTAAAATTTGAAGATTTTTTTAAATGTAATTACTTATCAATCCATTATTATATTGTCTTGTCTAAATTAATATAAATTTTAAAATTGTAAGCCCACTCCGCCATTAAATAATGAAATTGCCAAGTACACATAGTGTTAATTATTCGCAAATAAATTTATCTTATTTATAGCAAAAATAGAAATACTAATTTGAAAAGAAAAATGAAAAAAAAACACACTGAAATTACTATATATCTCAATATTGATTTCAAGGGCACAAATTTATTGATTTGGATCATTTATATTCGTTGAACGACCGAACGACGGGACATGAAAGTGAACAGCTTAGATTAGATGATGGTGGCTCGTAACATGACAATGTTTGTAAGTCAAGCAAGCACATCCTTTCCGTCTCAACGACGTCGTTCAAATTTACAATAAATGCCAAATATTTGACTAAATTGGTCATTGCAGGTAAATTATCTGACAATCCAATTCCAACATAACAATTTTTTTTGAGGTTGTCACGCTTCGTTGGTTTCTTGTTCATTTCTCTCTCAATATCGTATTTGCCCTTCCGCTTCGATTTGGTGCAACAGCGATTCAATTCCCAATTTGCTTCAACTCAATCAAGCTTTGCAGCTTCACCTTTCCAATTTAAGGTTATTATTATCTATTGTTCTTTTACTTCTAGTCCTTCATGCTTAATCCCTTTTTGGTTATTCATTGAAACCCTAGTTTCACATCCCCCGCGAGCTTCTTTCTTGATAATTTATCGTATTCTCTTTGCGCGATTGATTTTTCTGCATGCCATTCGATGCTTAGCATAAGGTTTCCCTAAACTTTTGATGCCCCGGTTGAATTTTTTCCTCCTTCCTTTTTAAAATGTTTGATAATCGCTTTTTTTTCTTTTTTAAGTTGTTTCCACTTGCTGATTTGCTATCTCTTCCTGGTGCCCCTCCAATAAAGTTTGTAACTTTGAAACTTTTGATTACAGTTTCGGATTGCTCGATTTAAGTTCATGCAGTATAGTTTGGTTGGTGAATGGCAGCCTCGGATGGTAGAGTTGCGTATTCTTCACTTTCTAAGTTAGAAAAGGAGAACACCAACTTTGTCTACGATGCTATGAATCACTATGGTGAGTCTACATGGTATCAGCCAAAGTGTGACTCATTAGGCTCAAAGTCCTCAAAGCAAGAGATCTTGTATCATTTCCCTTCTGAGGATGATGATTTGTTTGATGGAGGTTATGAATCTGATGATGATGCTCGTGGTATAATCCCCTCTAACATGCCTCCAGAGGTGAACTTGAAGAATGTGCTTTCTGGGATCTTTGCTATTCTGACTGGAAGAAACAAGGCTCCAAAGATTACTGCAAACCAAGAGTTCCCAATTTCAGATGTGTCATTTCTTGGCTCTGGAAAGAATGGAGATGTTTTCCTTGATTCTTCGGTATACACGCCGAGTGCACCGCCCCTTTTTCAGCCAAATGGGACTGATTATAATTCTTACAAGGAGGTCTTGGAAGCTGAACCCCCTGAGTGGCTCCCTGATAGTTCTACTACTGTTTGTATGCAGTGTACCTCTCCTTTTACTGCACTTACCCGTGGTAGACATCATTGCCGGTTTTGTGGAGGGATTTTCTGTCGAACATGTACAAAGGGCCGGTGTTTATTGCCTGTTAGGTTCAGGGAAAGGAATCCTCAGAGGGTTTGCGATGCCTGCTATGATAGGCTTGATCCTTTACAAGGTGTTCTAATCAACACCATGAGCAATGCTGTGCAGGTTGCTAAGCATGATGTCATGGATTGGACTTGTGCTAGAGGGTGGCTTAATCTTCCTATTGGTTTATCAATGGAGCATGAGATATATAAAGCATCTAATACATTGAGAAACTACTGTCAGGTTTGTTTGTTTTTGTGATTTCATTTATGTTTTCACTGAGCAAGTGTCTTCTTGTCGTGTTCCAATGGTAAAATTGCTTTAGTGCTTCTATTTTATGTGTTTGAATGGGAGGTTGCCAATGCTACAAATTAAGAAGTAATTGCTTTAAGTGTTATATCTGAATAATAGTTAATTAATAGTAATGTTCTGGATCAAAATTTCTAAGTCGACTTCTTTATTAATGTATCCATCAAGTATCTAGATATGAGTTATTCAGAATATGAGCCTTTACTACTTTTATGTGAAATACTTTTTGTATGGGCAGGTGGCCAAATCCAATCCTGAGAAGTCCATCCCTTTAGCTGTTCTTAAAAGTGCCAAAGGCCTAGCAATTTTAACAGTTGCCAAAGCTGGTGCACTGGTCTCTTACAAACTGGGTACTGGTTTGGTTGTTGCTCGAAGATCAGATGGATCATGGTCTGCACCGTCAGCTCTATTCTCCCTGGGTTTAGGATGGGGTGCTCAGGTGAGGAGAATATATGCGGTTTAGTTCATGTGTAGAATTATATCATTATTGTTATGCTTAATTTTTTGGTTTAATTGAATAATTGGAGAAAGTAGATAATGAATGGAGGTGGAGCCATTATGAATGACATGAATATTATTTCTGTGACCTTATTTTGTATGGAACAGTCTTGCATTCGTGATAACCATTTCCAAGCTATCAATTAATTAAATATGACCCGAATAATAGGAACTGAGTAGAGGGAAAAAAAAATTTCTGAGCATACATTATTGTGTTGACTTCGATATGAATTTATTTTTGACTGATAAATATGTGCTTATCCTCTATTCCCAGATTGGTGGTGAACTTATGGATTTTATAATTGTTCTTCATGATATGAAAGCTGTGAAGACGTTCTGCAGTCGCCTGCATTTTTCTCTTGGTGCGGGTTGTAGTGCTGCAGCGGGGCCGGTTGGGAGAGTACTTGAGGCGGATGTTCGTGCTGGTGACAGAGGGTCTGGCATGTGTTATACTTACAGTTGTAGTAAAGGTAGTTATAATGAATTTTATTGCATATCTGCGGATCTTCTTTTTGCATGAAATACCAAAGGCATTTTTAATTTCAGTTCATTTAAATGCACGCACATATTTGGGCTATTAATTATTTTACCATGTTAGCATACAAGCTATGGCTTTCAAATTGAGTAGTTTCAACATCTGATCTAATATGTAGTCAAGGCCATTTAATGTAACAACGTGCTTATATTGATAATAGACTAACCTAGAAATCAAGTAATAAGGAAACAAGAATCATGTGCGGCATAATGGACTGAAGGAATTTGTTGAAGCTTTACCTTTATTGCAGCAAATTATAGTGTCAATAGTTTGTCTTTTTAAATATACAGTGTTTGAATCTGCAAAACCTTCAGATAGTTCTTTGTGACAATGGCCTACCATTGTCCTTGGTATTCTCTGAAAGCATAACCTGGTCTTCCAATCTCCTTGTTTGTAATGAATGGAACTGATTCTCAGGAAAAAACATTGGTACCATAGTAACTCCCATAATGTAATACTAACAACTAACAAGCTCATTATTGTTGTCTGCTTGCGCCTACTACCTTGTTTTTATCATTATTTCTTATTTATTCCCGTGGTTGATGTTTGTGGTAGAATAATGTTCGAAAGTATAGCTGACAACACGGAATGTTGCCAAACTGTAGGTGCATTTGTGGGAGTGTCATTGGAAGGGAATATAGTTGCAACCAGGATGGATACCAATTTGCGCTTTTATGGTGATCCTTATCTCACCACACATGACATTCTACTGGGGATGGTGGATAGGCCAAAGGCTGCTCAACCATTGTACACCAGTCTTCAAGACCTATATTCCAGTTTACGCTACTAGACTTGGTCCTTGGACACTAGTGTCAAATACTGCATCTGCATGTTATATGTACAGTTCTAGCTCATGCATGGTGTTCTGAAGTGTGATTTCCATTGCCATTTTAAAGGCCGCTCTACACTCTATTTGGTTCTAGGGGATGAGGGATCTATGCACATATGATTCAGTTATACGTTATATTTGTTACAAATGATGCAAATGTCCAGTACACAAAGTTATAATGTGAATATGTTGTTAGACTTAATTTGTACATAAACAATCCATGGAACAAGGTATATTCGTTTGCTGAATACTTTTATCCTTGCTGAGGGGTTTCTCTGGAATTGGATTTATAATTTAATAATATTTATTTATAATTTAAAATCAATTCACACACCCACGTGAAGATAAAAGAGTGCAACACGTATCAACAACCACAGCTTGTTTCCCATAATCAGCTATGTTGAGAGAGTCGTTTACAATGAATATGAGAATAGTCAAATCCGATTATTGAATAAAATAAAATAAAAAAAGAGGGTGATACTAATACTAGAAGGTACGTTCATTCATTGGCTTTAGGGTATTGCCGTATGTTTAGTAATTTTTTGAATTAGCTAGGAAAAATGAATCGTTATATGTTTCAAAATTATATCGTTTAACCCTCCTCCATACTTTTTTTTTTATCATACTCTTTAATGTGTATATTAAATGAAATTTGGCATATTGTCAACTACCAATTATGATCCTTTTGAAATTGTATGAATTATCCTGTGACTTAGACTTTTTATTTGAAGAAAAATCAAAATTTTCAGTAAGAAAAGTCAAATTTTTCGGCAAAGCAGTATATATATATATATATATATATATAATTAGGATTTGATACATGCTAAGATTACTTGATATTATTTTCTCCCGCATTTCTTTCCTTGTAAACTCTGAAAAATATCAGTACATAAATCAAAAAATATAAGAATTGAAACATGATAAGATTAATTGATATTATTATTTTTCTCCCATAAATTGATTTGTTAGGCATAAAAAAATAGGTCTAATATCTTCTGAAGAATTCATACATTTTTGATCTTTTAGATAGTTCAGGAAATGGTTACACTAACTAGTAACTACTAATTTTTTGGGTGAAGAGAATGAATAAAAAAATGGGAAAATATAAGACACATTTATATATTGATTCAATTTGCATATTTACTCATTTTGTGTAATTAATTTTTTTTCTTGAAAGAATTGTGATTGACATAAAGATGAAGTTATGTATTGCATAATTCCATTATACAAGTTATATTCTATGATTTCAGTTTATAATTGTAACACAAGCACCTTCACTTTCAAAATATTGATATTGTAATTAATTTTGCTCGATTTTAATTTGGCTCCTTCTTCTTAAAATTGGTATATTATTTAATCATGTATTTTTATACCATTAAATAATTTAATTTTAATTCATATCATTAAATATTTTTAAAATTGTGTGACTTGAGGGTGCACCTCGCATGTGTGTTTCACTCGCATTGGATTGATAAATAATTTATCAAGAGAATTAAGTTGGTGAATTATTTCTGATTTTGCATTGAATTAGTCAAAAAGCCTAAGATATGATCGTATGTATGTAACTCGATATTAATTAAATTCTTGTATTACTCTCATGCGCGATTTGTGCAAAAGTCAGTGCACGCTTGTCATATGTCGTGCTCTGTAAGATGCATATCACTTCTATGTGCGTTCAAATAACACACTTCCTCACGTGTATTTTGGATGCGCAACACGTGACAAACATTTGCATAAGTCATACATGTGGTGATGTGCGACTTTAACTCATGCTATTAGGATACACATATTTTAATATCAAATTGGTAAATAGTTTGCCAAAAGAATTAAAATATAAATTTTTTATTTTGCATTGTATGGATAAAAAAACCTCATATCTTAACATTATTATTACTAGATGGGAAAAATTATACTTACTACTTATTTTTTTTACTACCTCTTACTACTAAATTTTAACCGTTGATTTCTGTCAATCTAACGGTTATAATTTATTGTAAATTAATAATTAATTAATAAATATGACCCCATAAATTACAACCGTTAAATTAACGGAAATCAACGGTTAAAATTTGGTAGTAACAAGTAGTAAGAAAAATAGGTAGTAAGTATAACTTTTCCATTACTAGATTATTAATAGTCATGTCTATTTTTTTTCTTACGTTTCAATACATGAATTAGTGTTGTCCACTCGAAGCCTTCTTTAGTACCTAGGTATATCTATTTAGCTTTTAAGTTCCTCAATCTTTCAATTCCATGATAATTCTCCGAGGAAATACAGAGAACCAAATTTTATGCAGCGAGCCTTTGTATATTTTCAGTCATCGACTTTAGGGTATTCATGTATGTATGTTTAGTATATTTTTGTATTAGCTTGAAGTTAAATGAGAAATATCACCACGTGAACATGGTAGGATGCACTGGCGGACCCAGGAACAAAGTTTTATGTCTGCACATTTACTGGTTGGGGTTCGGGATTTTGATTAACGCTTTAGTTGCTTCCATAAGAAGCTACAGGCAATAGTTTGACTAATCATTCCTCCCTAAATCTTACCAATCTTCCAAAACAAATATTAGAATATACTCGATTACATCCATATATCATCAATTTATTTTATAATGGCGAATAAAAAAGTCAACACTACCTGTACAGAAGGCAAGCGAAATCACAGTGAAGGCGTTTCTAGAGATTAACTTATTTGAGATGTCAGACCTGAAATCAATCCTCTCTTTTTAGAAAAATGAAAAAAGAAACAAAGGATGAAGAGAGCATGAGAATGAGTACGTGACAAGAGAGGAAGAATAAGTTTTCTCTCTAATCAATTTGCATTGCTACGTTGTTTTAATCATTTATGTACGTTGCTACATTGCTAACTAATATAAAAGTAAATACTCTTTTTGATCCCTAACAAAAAATTTGGTCCTCACTTTAGTCTCTTACAAAAAAAATTAGTGACCTGGTACCTATGAAATTCAAAGTGGACACATTTTAGTCTTTTTGAGCAACTAATGTGGTCTTTTTTGAATTTGTGAGGGATCACGATTCTAACTAAATTGATCCACTTTGAATTTCTTAGAAACCTCAAGACTAATTTTTTTTATAAGGGACTAAAGTGAGGATCGTATTTTTTATTGAGGATTTAAAATAGTATTTACTCCTAATATAAATATTGAATCAAGAGACAAATAAGAACAACCTGCCAAAAAAAAAATCCCTAAAATCTTATGTCCGCACTTGCGGACATATGTAACAACCTAGGTCCGGATTCAGATCCTCTTATGTGAAAATTCACATGACCATGTTATGTAGGAAATCATAACCATACAAAAGTGGGATTAATGGTAATAAAGGAGGAGAGAAAAAAAATGATAAAATATGTAGTTACGAAATCATAACCATTGATTTACCTTTGTATGATTGTGATATTCTCACATGACCATATCATATTTTTTTTTCACATGAGAGGATCCATTTCCGTACTGAATTAGAGTTAAATGTGACCGACTTCATGTTCTTCCTTCTTACATAATTTATTGGGATTTAAAAAATATTAAAGATGTTATAAAAAAAAAAAAAAAAATATTAAAGATAGAAGAAAAGAGCGCAAATTGAGAATTAATTTTATTTAATCCGTGGAACATATTTTCGGTATTCAGGGAATAAATACTTCCTTTTCTAAAATAAGAAAGAGAGGAAACAACCATAAAAATAAAGTATATAAATGTGTTACTTTCTTTTAATTTGGTAAAAGATATACTGAATGTCATGTAACAAAAATATTTTTCATTTTATGGTACCACACACGAGGGATACAGTATAGTAGATTAGATTGAAAAATATTTTTTTTCCGGTTATATATATATATATATTTTAAATGCACTTTTATTTGTTCAAACTAAAAAGAAGAAAGGGATATTTTGACTCCAGAATAAGAATTACAAATCTCACTCTCCATTTTAACCGTTGATTTTCGCTCATCTAACAGTTATAATTTAAAAAATTATACTAATTAGTTAATTATTAATTACACTACAAATAATAACCATTGATTTTTTTTTATCAATGACTGAGATGAGAAGTAAGACTTTTAAATTTTACTCTTAAGTCAAAAGAATTCTCCCTTAAAATTAATATCATTTTAAAAAAAATATTATACCACTAAAAAAATATGACTGCAAATCGAGATCTATGCTAAATTTCGTCTTCCACCAACCCCTTAAAAATTTAATGTATGGATTACTTGTGCTCCTGTTTATGGAATGCTTACGGATAATGCGATTATATTTGTATCGTCAATTTTATTTTATTTTTGGAATGAGTCAATAAATTATGACTTAATGTGTCCTCTTTTTCCTTTTTTTTTTGTTTCTTTCCATGTTTTACAAAATTCCTAAATAATGCAAAATTTAATTAGAAGCTTCCATTCCTTTTATCTTACTCTTTAATGTGTATATTGAATGAATTTTGGCATATTATCAACTACCAGGTGTGATCCTACCATTTGCAAATCTATCTCTCATAACAATACTACTAACTTTTTTGAAATTGTATGAGTTGTCATGTGAGTTAGACTTTTCCCTAAGAAAAATCAATTTTTTTTCAGAAAAGCAATTTATTTTTATTAAAAATATAAAGATTGAAACAGGATATGATTAATTGATATTATAATTTTCTTTCGATTTTCTTTTCTTCTGAAAAATATTAGGATATGAATTAAAAATATATTTTCTTCTTTATTTTATGTTTTTTCTTTCTATTTTCCAGTTCTATCTCATCTTATTAACTTAAAAATTTTGTAGCAGTTTCTACTTGCGTACATAATCTTCTGCAATGGATAATTTTGATAGCGTGCCGGTTTAGCGAAAGTAGATCAAATTTCTCGTGACTGTGAAAGGAAAACATTAATTTAAACAAATAATTGTTATAAAAAGTGAAAAGAAAATGATAATTATTCAAAAAAGGAAGAAAATTTATATATATATGTATTCTTGTTACATAAACCACGTGTAATTGAAAAAAAGCTGATAGATTGACAGATGTACAAGTTGGTGACGATTGGTTGGCATATCTTACAACAACAAAAATCAACTTAAAATAAAATAATATATATATATATATATATAAATAAATAAATAAATGAATTTGATTTTCTTGTTGCATTCTCATGATTTAATTAGTTGCGGGTAGACCACTTATTAAAAAAAACTTTGCACGTAAATCGAACGAAAAGTCACAACATACAGGAGAAGTGTTTTTTCGGTATATAAATTATGTAAAATAATAATAATGAAAAATAACATGAGGCAGTAAGTGTTTGATATACACGTGATAGAGTATGGCGTGGCGCCAAGGAAAATAAGATCTTTTTGTTTTATTATTATTATTATTATTATTATTATTATTTTTATTTTTATTTTTATGTGTTTTTGTCTTGTAAATTATAATCTTTCAAAATTTGTTATTTTTATTTTCTCTGTATTTGCAATTATTACTCTGGAATTTTCTGGAGATAGTGAGAGATCTGATTGTGGTTTATTGTATTATTTTAGTTCCAAAAGAAGTTTATGTCGTTAACTGCATGCTCAAGAGTTCTACGGTTGATTACTTTGTGGGTTGGTGAGAGCCTCTGATGATGACGATGACGATGATGATGATGCTTCTGTGCTTGTTTAGTTGATTTGTTCGTGTTTTTGCATCTGGGGTCATCGTTTTCTGTATTCTATTGAATTTGCTTTCTGGGTACGCTGCAAACTGAGGCATTGAGCTCATTGAGATAATCTGAGCTGAAAAGTTCGGCTTTTTTTTTTTCTTCATGAACAAACCCAATTGGTAATTATATATTATCTGTTCATCAGTGTTAATTTCCAAGTGATGTTAAGGTATTGGACTTTTGGGAATTGGGGATTGGGAAAATTAAATAAGGTTTCTAGCTGTTATATTAGGTTCGAATATTGTTGTCAGTAATTAATATTCCTGGATATGGTTTCCATAGCAATACTATTACTCGAATGACTGAAGTCGTTATATGCTTAAATTTTAACACTTGAAAGCGTATTTATTAAGGGTCATGTAGTTATTGATTTAGTTTTGACTTGATTGCCTAGTTCTTAACTTGGTGAATAAATTGCTTTCTGATTTCTGAAGCATAATTACTTGTTTACCTGTATATGCTTCTCACCAGCATCATGGAATGCTAACAAGGCTGGTCAATGAGGGACTCATAATGAGTGGACTCGGGTTGAATCTTAGTCAATGGGCACCCCTGAGAAGAAAATATCTGACCTTGTTGATGTAGTTAAGTCCTGGATCCCTCGAAGGGTTGAGCCACCAAATGTGTCGAGGGACTTCTGGATGCCTGATCAGAGTTGTAGGGTATGCTATGAGTGTGATTCACAGTTCACAGTATTCAACCGTAGGCATCATTGTCGAATCTGTGGTCGAGTGTTCTGTGCAAAGTGCACTGCCAATTCTGTTCCTGCACGATCTGATGAGCCAAATACTGGTCGTGAAGATTGGGAGAGGATTAGGGTCTGTAACTATTGCTTTAAACAATGGGAGCAAAGTGTAGCAACAGTTGATAATGGCACTCTTTTGGCTACTGCTTGTCTCAGCCCTTCACCATCTATGACAAGCTTGGTCAGCTCTAAATCCAGTTGCACCTGTCATAGTAGCAGCAGCACTGCTGGTTCAGTTCATTACTCAACTGGACCTTATCAGCATGTGCCTTATAGTCCACATCAATCTTCCCAAATGGATCTGATAGCAGATGAGCAAGAAAATTTGAATTCTGGGAGGAGTACAATTCCCTCTGTGGCTGTAGGGGATTTGGCTTCTAACCAATTTGGTTATTGCTTCAACAGGTATCTCTTTCTTGGATGGTTCTATTTTTTTATTACTGGATGTTGAAAGGTCATGGGTTCGAATCCAGGAAACAGCCTCTATGCAATTATGCAAGGGTAAGGCTGCGTACAAGGATTTCCTCCACCCCACACTCGCTAGTCGGGTTTAACGGGGAGTGGTGTATAAATTGTGTGTATGTTGCTGTCTTTTTGTTCTCCTAAATATTCTGTTTCATTTATTTCCTCTGTTTCTGATGCTGATGTATACATCTATATCAAGTGAAGATAATAAAGGCTGAAAGTGAGCTAGAATTCTCACCATTTTGAGAACCTGGTTTTACCTAGATGAATGATGGTCTTGCAAAGATGTGTTTTTGTATGTATGCTAAGCTGTGGATTTTATATGGACGTGCAGCAAAGTTTTGATGTGATCCTGTGCTGATCCAGATATAAATCTAATGGTGCAGCAAAGTTTTATTTTTTTATTTTATTTTATTTTTTATTTTTTTAATCTCTTATCTATCATTGGGTTCATCTACCACCGACTCCAATTAACTTGGGTTAAAGGTGCTGTTGATGTTGATGTTGGTGCAGATATAGGGTGTGAGTCATGCCCTATATCTACACCATTAGTGAGTTTTTGTTAAAAAAAGGGGGATGGGGGGTGTAGATAGGACCCTTTTTCACAACCTTAATGTCATTTGTAGACAATGGTTCATTGACTTTTAGAAAGATATATTTGACTAGTGGATCAAAATATGATGGTAAATTCTGCATTTCTGATCAAATGTTTTTTGTTTTTGTGTTCTTACTGTTATTTTATGTTTATTCTTCTGAACCAGGAGTGATGATGAGGATGATGATTATGGTGTTTATCATTCTGATACAGAATCAAGGCATTACTCTCATGCCACTGGCTTTGATGATCCAGTCAACATTCATGGGATTGACCATGTCTATGGAGGACCACATGAAATGCATCCTGATGGAGATAATATTCAGGAAAAAAGTTTGAGTTGCTTAATACCACCACAGAATCTTGATGTAGAAAATGTAGATGGAATTCAAGCACCTGGAAAAGAAGCTGACGAGCATGATCATGCTGATGGGTGTGAAACTTCTCCATATCATGAGGAGAGTAATAATGCTGAACCTGTGGATTTTGAGAATAATGATTTACTGTGGCTACCTCCTGAGCCAGAAGATGAAGAGGATGACAGAGAAGCTGTTCTTTTTGATGATGACGAAGATGAAGGTACTAATGGAGAATGGGGATATCTGCGATCCTCCACTAGCTTTGGCTCTGGAGAATTCCGTAGTAGAGATAAATCAAGTGAGGAGCATAGGAAGACCATGAAGAATGTAGTGGAAGGGCATTTTAGAGCTCTGGTAGCTCAGCTTTTACTGGTAGAAAACCTAACTATTTGTGATGAAGATAGCAGAGAGAGTTGGTTGGATACAATTACCGCTTTATCTTGGGAAGCTGCTACACTTCTGAAGCCTGACATGAGCAGGGGTGGAGGTATGGATCCTGGTGGATATGTAAAGGTTAAATGCATAGCCTGTGGGCATCGAAATGAAAGGTAATGATAGTGGCCTAAGGAAATATATTAATGCACTAATGTATTGACCTGTATGCTGCTGGAGCTTGTATTTTGTTCTTTTGTTTCAGTCTTTTGGTAGATTATATGTGTCTGGTTTTGAGCTTTGTGCTACTGATAACTGTGCATTACTTCTGTTTTCTTTCAGAATTTTCCCTGTACCTGAAAAAATAATATAAAAAATTGTAAGAATAGTATATGGGCCCCCTAGAGACAAATAAAAGAAGAAATAAATGCATGGTGCTTTTCTTTTCTTTCTATTCTATATGAATAATTCACATATGTCAATAAGCTTTATGCTTCTAAAATCCAACTTTTATGGAGATTCCATTATGTTGAAGGACAGTTGATTGTTTTTTCTCTGTTTTTATTCCTTTTCTTCCCTCATCCTGGGGTAAAGGATCCCCACCCCCCCCCCCCCCCCCCCCCCCAAACACATACACACACAAAAATATCTGCTGGAATGAAGTTCATATAATTGATAGTACAATGCAATTATATGCTTCTTTTGTCAGCTGAAGTGTGTAGATTCATTGTGCTTGTTTGGGGGATTGGCTGTTGGGGCTAAGGCAATCTGAGGATCGTAGTGAGTATCCTGGTGCAGGCCACCTTTCTTAATAATAAAAGATACATGTTGTATGAGCAGGCTGTTGAATGGAAAATTGTGTATTTTATCTGTCTCTGTATACTCTTGATCTTCTAGTTTTCTATTTCCAGCATGGTGGTTAAAGGAGTTGTTTGTAAGAAGAATGTGGCTCATCGGCGAATGACATCGAAAATTGATAAACCACGTTTTCTAATACTTGGAGGTGCCTTGGAGTATCAGCGTGTTTGTAACCAGTTATCGAGTGTTGATACTTTGTTGCAGCAGGTTCTCTCCGCCCAACCCAACTCTTAAAACTTGATAATTATATACCAAATGTGTGTGCTGTTACCGGTGCTTACATCTGAATAATTTTTCCTTAGATCTGATTTGTATTACCTGACCCCACCCAGGATGATAAGGCGTGGTTGTCTTCATTTTATTTCTATAGTAATAGTTCTGAGTTTCATGATCTTTTTACTCTTCCCCAGGAGATGGACCATCTGAAGATGGCAGTTGCAAAAATTGATGCTCATCACCCGAGTGTTCTTTTGGTAGAGAAGTCAGTATCCCGTTATGCTCAAGAATACCTTCTTGCTAAAGACATTTCACTTGTTCTGAATATTAAAAAGCCGCTTTTAGAGCGTATTGCCCGTTGTACTGGGGCACAGATTGTCCCTTCGATTGATCATCTGACCTCCCCAAAGCTGGGGTACTGTGAAACATTCCATGTTGACAAATTTTTTGAGGAGCATGGTAGTGCTGGGCAAGTTGGGAAAAAATCAACGAAGACTTTGATGTTCTTTGAGGGCTGCCCAAAACCTTTGGGTTGCACTGTAAGTTCTATAACCTGACATATTTTGGGACATGAAAATCGGTGTCAGTACCACATAGGCTTTGAATTATTCTATCTGTCTGATATCTTTGTTATCTTGATGGTTTATTAGTTATCCCAAACTTTAAGTTGATAGATCCCTTACCAATACTTTCACATGATCTTAAGCTAAATAAAACACAGCTGACAACCACTAGAAGGAAATTTTTGTATAATGTTTGTAATTACTCAGGATTGAATAATCCTCTTTCAAACAACTGATCAAGCATTATGTTGTATAACCATCCCAAAAGATCAAGCTGATGATGGCAAAGGGAACCAAAAATCATATTAAGATTAGCGCAGAAATTTACAAATTGCAGCTGCTGAAATTCATTACATAACAAAATGTAGTTGAGGCTACCCCAGTGAATTAAGTCATGTTAATGAAATGTGTTAAAAAAAAATTTAATCTCTCCGAGCTGTAGGAGTTTCTGTCTCTAGTGCTGCTGTTCCTTGCTAGTTGCTTGACTTGTTTCACTACTGGTTGAAATTCAACATATATGTATGACACTATGCTGTAATCTGTATTTTCTATTTTTGGTTAACCCAACAAGGGTCTGGATTTAACATAATTAGTACAGAATAATAAGTTGTAAAGAAAGATTGAATTGTTCTGTAGCTTTACTTTTTTCCCTCGGTATGGGTTTATTTATTTATTTATTGTCTGTGTTTTTCTGCTTTACTTTGAAGATCTTGCTCAAGGGTGCCAATGGGGATGAGTTGAAGAAGGTGAAACATGTGATCCAATATGGAGTCTTTGCAGCCTATCATCTGGCATTGGAGACATCTTTTCTAGCTGATGAAGGCGCTTCACCTCTGGAGTTTCCCTTGAAATCTCCCATAACTGTTGCATTACCTGATAACCCGTCTGCTATTGTAAGATCCATTTCCACTATCCCAGGATTTTCTGTTTTCACTGGTAGAGAGCATCAGGGAGCTCAACCTATTAAAGAAGTATCAAAACCCAGTGACAGCCACAAGACAGAAAGAACGCCATCTAGCTGCAGTGGGACCATTGAAAGATCACTGGTGGGTGACTTGATGGACATGCATGAAGGCTCTGGATACGTCATCCAACCAGCTCAGGATATGCCATCTTTCCACTACAATAGTTTCGTCCCTAATACTGCTTATGAGGAGGGTGAAAAGAAATGTTCTAAGGAATTTTTCCAATACAGACAAGATGAGAGGAGGGAAACTATATTGAGCAATGATCTTATTTCAGATTCTTTAGGAACATTCGAGCCTTCAGAGCAAGATGGCAATAACCACATCAGGGCTGCAGCATTGGCTGCAAATCTGGGACCTAACCCTGAGTCACCTAATGTAAAACATGATGATAACAATAATGATAATAATCATGATGACGTGATACATTCCAAAGAAGATTTTCCTCCCTCAACTTCTGACCATCAGAGTATTTTGGTTTTTTTATCAACACGTTGTGTGTGGAAAGGAACTGTTTGTGAAAGGTCCCATCTTGTGCGAATAAAGTACTATGGAAGCTCTGATAAGCCTTTGGGACGATTTTTGAGAGATCAACTATTTGATCAGGTATTTGTTCTTCCAAATTATTTTCTTTTTAATTTAATAAATTTTATCACTATTGGCTACCTTATGTTCTCAAAATTCAAATGGGATTAACATTTCCTTGTTAGAGTTACACTTGCCACTCATGTGAGATGCCATCAGAAGCTCATGTTCGTTGTTATACTCACCGGCAAGGGAGCCTGACAATTTCTGTTAAGAAACTATTGGAGTTTCCTTTGCCAGGGGAACGGGAAGGTAAAATCTGGATGTGGCACAGGTGCCTGAAATGTCCTCGTGTAAATGGTTTTCCTCCTGCTACACAGAGGGTAGTTATGTCTGATGCCGCCTGGGGCTTATCCTTTGGGAAGTTTTTGGAGCTGAGTTTTTCAAATCATGCAGCAGCAAGCAGGGTTGCAAGCTGTGGTCATTCTCTCCACAGAGACTGTTTAAGATTCTATGGGTATGCTTTTCTCCTCCTAAATTGAATCTGTGGGCGTGGTGGAAAATTATACTGAACGAAAACTGTACTGAACTTGAAATGCATGCAATGTTGGTGCTTTTGTTTAACAACTATCATCATTGATTTAATAAAACAGGCATGCATTCATCTGCCAAGTCTAAAATATCATGGAAGAATGGTTTGATGAGCGCACATGTTGGCTTATTGCTTAATTGTATACTCAAATGTTTTATTTGGTGTAACTGAAGATGACAAAAAGGGTTTATTTTTTAGTTGGTTATTTATTGAAAATTAAAAAGATAATTTAAAGAGTAAACTACTCCTACCTTGCATTTTGCTTGTATTACATAAACCGCTCATTTGAAAATCTACACCTTCCTCCCTTGGAGACCTTCTCCAACCTTTCCTGAACTTCTATTAGCTTGGAAATTGGGTCATCCTTCTTTAAGTCTAGTATCCATAAGGCTTGATGGTGACTGTATCACTTAGGATTGTGAAGCACGTGAAATACTCATGTGTCCAATAGAAATGACATTAATATCCGACTTTTGGTTTTCTTCTTGAATCATTGTTTCCTGTGTGCAGTTTTGGGAAGATGGTTGCCTGCTTTCACTATGCTTCAATTGACCTTCATTCTGTTTATCTTCCCCCACCTAAACTTGAATTCAACTATGATAGTCAGGACTGGCTACAGAAAGAAGAAAATGAGGTTGATAAGCTAATCTTAGTTGAGATATAGCATCTACTTCTGAAGCTTCGATATTTATGAGTTAGTTGATCTTGTCCACCAGGTGCATAACAGGGCTGAAATACTGTTTAGTGAAGTGTGCAACGCTCTACATCAAATTTCAGCGAAGATATCAGGTCCGGTGCTGCAGGAGGGTGGAAATTCATTATCAGATTTTAGGCATCTAATTGCTGAACTTATAAGGATGCTGCAGAAAGAGAAAGAAGAATTTGAGGTAGGTGGTTTGACACTTTGAGATTCGTTGCCCCATCTTCGACTACTCTCCTCATCCGTGCACTCTTCCCCCAAACAAAGAGTTCCCAAAGATTTGGATGAAAAATCTTCAGCTACATTTTTGTTGTTTTGATCTAACCCTCGACTTACTTTCCAGATAATTGATAAAGAAATTGGGTTCATTTAATTTTATTTTTATTTTTATTTTTTATTTTCCTTGCTTGACTAAGAGGTGATAGTATATTAATTTTTGGTTTCCCATTTATACTGGTTAATGACTTAGGACTTGTTACAAAAGTTGCTGCGTAAAGAGGCCAAAGCTGGTCTGCCTGGGGTTGATATTCTAGAGCTCAATAAATTGAACAGGCATATGCTTATCCTTTCTTATGTTTGGGACCAGCGCCTGATATATGCTTCCAATCTAAGTAAAATTACTCTTAAAGAAGATTTGAGGAACTCCTCTCAGAGAGAGAAGTTGGTTGGTTCTAGGGAAAAGATTGTTGAGGCAGATTTGGCCACTAGGCCAGCAAGAGGCCATAGCAGTTTTGATTCCTTTTTTTCAGAAACAAAAACCGATGGAAGCCTTGATTTAGAAGACACTAGCCACCTTAGCCAGCCTAGTGAAGTGATTAAAGGTGAGGACAAGGGTAAAGACACAAGTCATGATAAGGTTGATCTTTCTCTCTCTGGTGGTGCTAATATCAATGGTAAATCTGACTCTCTGGAGTTTGGAGGAGCTGGACAGAGGGCTTTGCCAGATGGGGAATCTCCTATTGTGACTAGTTTATCTGATACACTTGATGCAGCATGGACAGGTGAAAGTCACCCGATAAATGTATCACAGAAAGAAAATGCTTGTCTACCACCTGATGTAGCTGTGACAGTTCATTCACCTGCGGCAAATATAGTTTCAGCAAAATCAAATCTTGATAATTATACTGCTGATATAAGTGGGATTGAGACTAGATGGACTGGGATACCTTTTGCAAACTTGTTTGGTTCATTCAATAAAACTTCAGCTTTCAATGCACAGAAGCTTGTCGAATACAACTCAGTCCACATTTTCTCATTTCGAGAGTTGGAGCGCCAGACTGGTGCTAGACTGCTTCTTCCTGTTGGTATTAATGATACCATTGTGCCTGTCTATGACGATGAACCCACTAGTGTTATAGCATACGGGCTTGTGTCAATAGATTATCATATCCAGATGTCGGAATCTGATAGACCTAAAGATAGTGGAGACAGTTCAGTTTCATTGCCACTCTTTGATTCAACAAGTCTCCTTTCTCTTAACTCTTTTGATGAGACACTTACTAATACGTACAGAAGTCTTGGCTCTTCTGATGAGAGCATGTTATCCACTTCTGGGTCACGGAGTTTGCTGGTTGGGGATCCACTCTTATACACAAAGGATTTGCATGCAAGGGTTTCTTTTACTGATGAAAGCTCCCTTGGAAAGGTGAAATATACTGTAACTTGCTACTATGCAAAGAGATTCGAGGCTCTAAGAAGAACCTGTTGCCCTTCTGAGATAGATTTTGTTCGGTCCCTTAGTCGTTGCAAGAAGTGGGGGGCGCAGGGAGGAAAGAGCAATGTTTTCTTTGCTAAAACCCTGGATGATAGATTTATTATCAAGCAGGTTACAAAGACAGAGCTTGAGTCATTTATCAAGTTTGCACCAGCTTATTTTAAGTATTTATCTGAGTCAATCAGTACAGGAAGCCCAACTTGTCTAGCAAAGATCTTGGGCATTTATCAGGTACTTTTTGTTGACTTCTGTTCTGATAGCATATAATTTTTTTACTAATAATAGTATTTCAAGTTGTAGATCAAAATCTTAGTAATGGAGTGCCTGCTACGTCGCCTACTTTTTTAGGCATTAAATACCATTTGAAATCACTAGTTGGGTTTACCTCCCATTCCCTTTTTATGTATTTATAAGCATAGACTTAAGACTAGTAGGATATGTTTTCATATTAAATATAGATGACAAAGTCTATGGTACAACCATTATGGATTCTCTAAATATTTTTGTCAGATTCATTTTCAATCCTATATTCTAGAAACTGCCAGATGAACACTCATACCATGGAACCAAATAAGTGGTTGCATTGTAGATTTGGCTAGAATCTTCTTTTGAACAGCCATTGTTTTTCCTAGTGCAAATCATTGATACGTTTTTCAGTTCTCACTGGGTGTGCTTTTGTGTCTTTCTTTTTTCTTTGAAGGTAACATCAAAGCACCTTAAAGGAGGGAAGGAAACAAAAATGGATGTTTTGGTCATGGAAAATCTTCTTTATAGGCGTAACATTAGACGGCTTTATGATCTCAAAGGTTCTTCTCGATCACGATACAATCCAGATACTAGTGGGAGCAATAAAGTTCTACTGGATCAGAATCTCATTGAAGCTATGCCAACCTCTCCAATATTTGTTGGGAGCAAGGCAAAACGGTTGCTCGAGAGAGCTGTGTGGAATGATACTGCATTCCTTGCAGTAAGTGCCCTTCTTAACATTCATTCTTTACCCTGTAGAATTGAAGTATACCTTCTTTTGGTGACATAATATTGTATATATTGTTGCAGTCAATAGATGTGATGGACTATTCATTGCTGGTTGGTGTGGATGAGGAAAAACATGAGCTGGTTTTAGGCATCATTGATTTTATGAGGCAATATACATGGGATAAACAACTTGAAACTTGGGTGAAGACTTCAGGCATACTTGGTGGACCTAAGAATACTTCTCCAACAGTTATATCACCTCAGCAGTACAAGAAACGGTTCAGGAAAGCCATGAGTTTATATTTTCTTATGGTGCCAGATCAATGGTCTCCTCCAGACCTGCACCCCAGTGGGTCCCAATCTGACCTTTATGATGAAAATTCATGAGATGATTGATATGCTCAAATTTTGAAGATTCCAGCTTCCCTTGACACGGTTTCTCATCCCATGTCTTTGCTCTCTCTCTCTCTCCCCTCCTTTCCTTATATTGTATTGTGCATTGTATTATCTCATAAATGTAGCTGTTCATTTGTGTATCTTAAAAGTAATATCGTAGCCAGAGATTGTTGAAAGGGTATGCCGGATCATGTCCAGCAGGGGTAACTGTACAGTGAATTGGTATTTCCCCCCCTCAATTTGTATATCATGTTTTTCATCTCGCTTTTACTATTTCTTGTTTTCAAAATCATAACCTTTTGGAGCCTTTTGGCATTACCTAGCTTTTCTTTTTTCCTTGCATGTGAAATTGTAGCATTGAGAAAATTTTTGGTAGGCACGTTATCATGTCATTTTTCAACATTCAAATTATTATTTAACATATAAAAAATATATTTGAAGATAGGTTCTTTTTTAATTTCTATCAAAGCCTTACAATTCTACACAAGTTAAGTATGGTTTAAGGATTCATAATAAGCACGATCTAATCAAGAATTACTCCCAAAGTCTAAACTGAATACTGATGAAACTCCTTAAAAATCTACGGGAATCCAGATTTTATCTGTTCCGGTTCGTTTAGTTTACATGTTAATAGAATTAATTTTTTGAACGAATAGATGTGACAAGAATTAATTTGTATTTGAGAATATTAAGTTAATTTAAAAGAATTGAATTGATTTTGTTTGAATACTAAATTGAAATAAATATAATTATAGATGTAATTTTTAAATTATATAAGTTTACTTCTAAAATTAATTCTATCCACATAAAAAAAAAAACCTTCTGTGACCGCAACCTCTTTTTTACTAACCGTGTAAAGTAGCAAACAAATATTAATACTCTTTACTAACCCAATTATTTGAACCGGAAACATGCTTTTGGTCACTAGCAGTTCTGTATCGTTTAACTCTTCCTCAGAAGATAAACATGTTATATACTGTTCTTGGTTATAATGAAATTAAAATATACTATTTTTTAATTTTATGCCCTATTGTTTTTTTTAAATCTAGAATAAAAATCACATTCCGTGGTTCAATACGTTTATTAAAATGCTACCGATACCGAAGTTTTCAGAGGTTGAATGGGAGACTCAGAAGACAAATTTTACACACAAGCATACCCACACAAGGAAATAGTAGAACTCTACCCATAAGTAGATAGAAATATATAAATTTATTAACCATTCACTCTTAACAGTTGACGTAATTCTAAAAGAAATATTAAAGATTTAAATTAAGCGCACGCATTTAAAAATTTACTAACTGTTAAAGTAGAATACAAAGAAGCACAAATTTATAGATTCTAAAAATTGCCAAATTTATGAATTTCAAAAATTGTATAAAAATACTTTAAATGCAACACTTATTCCAGGAGACAACACAGTACAGCATCCTCACTGAAAAAACAGAGAGCAAAGTCAAGGAAATTTAAGACGTCGTTTAATTTTTCCTCTTTTTCCCACCTTTTTTAGGGTCAACGCATGGAAGAGCTTGAAGGAAGTGTATTCTCAACGTGATAGTTAAAATCAGGATTTTACCTAAAATCAGAAGGAGGATAAAAAATCGTAAAATGTAAAATCCTAACGTAAAAAAAATCGTAAAAAATCGTAAAATAGTAAAAACATTTAGAATTTTGATGGAATCGTTTTAATTGAAAAAAATCATAAAATTGCAGACTTAAATCAAAATTTTAACTACTATGTTCTCAACCATAGGAATCAGATACACAGATACAATTGCGTCTTGTAACAAAAAATTACCAGCGTAAGGCTGGGTAAATTACATTGGTTGCTGACTAACGAAAATGTACATCATAAAAAATATCCATCAGCGTAAAAAAATAAAATAAATATATAATCTGCGGCAAAACCACAACTTTGCCATCTCTTGCTAATGATTCTACAAAATAATCTAGAATGTAATATAGTGATGTTACTTAAGTCTGTTTGTCCAGGATCCTCCAGCTGGAAAAAAATGGATCTTAGTGTGGCCTTTACATACAAGATTATAGAAGATTATCAAGCTCAGTTTGCAGATCCTGTACGGATTTCAGATTAATAATCTGGATTTCTTCACTCGTGTATTCTGACTGTAGTAGGGTTTGTACTTGGATATGGGCTTCAACAATATTTGTCCTAAATGAACAAGAGAAAAAAACAGCATTTTAAGATTGGTAAGACATTAAGCAGTTAGTTCTAATCTAACATGGCGTTAATGCACAACAGATAATTAATTGGCATTTCTGCCGATAAAAGATCTCTTAAGTTTAACTACCAATAAATTTAGATTTTAGAAATTTATCGAAGTGTAAGACATAAATTATTTGACAGTTTAAACAATAGGAAACAAAATCAAGACGCACTTATCATGGCAAAGGCATGCAGGAAAATGTCTAAACTGTAGCTACATTGCATATAAGCTTACTTTATTGGTTTGAAAAGTATTGTTCTTGTTGATGAATTCTGCAAATAAAGCTTCATCTTTGCTATCACCACTGGCAGTTGCTCCTGAATAGCAGTCCTGACCTAGATTGCAGAACATCATTAAGCTCGATAAAAGAATGGATTCACAAACTTAAAATTCAAAACTCATCTATCCATGGCTGATTGACCCCGTTACCTTTGTTTATTAATAAAATTACTATTTTACCCCTCTTTTCAAACTATATATCAATCTGCCCTTGTTTGACCACTTTGACAACTAGTTGGCCCACTCAAGTAATTAAGGCAAACTTGGATCCACGAATATTTTTTATTCAAACTAAGTTCTAATGTCTTGTACATGTATAAATGGACTTGGAATAGGTGTTTGTGGGTCCAAAATAATTAAGGACAATCTCTATTCAAACTCTTCATACACTAAAATTGTATAAACTTTGGAAGGAAATAACTTTTGGCACAGTTGTCGAAATCGGGTTTTTTTATTTTTTAATTTCATATAATTTTTCGAGATCTAAGCGATGACAAATCTCTGGAGTGCATTTGGTCAAAAACATTTTCCAAATAAATGTTTACTTCATGGGTTTTGGGAATGACAAAGTAAATGAGTATAAATTTTTTAAAGCAATGCCACATGAATATAAATACGTACATAAAACTAAATTTAGTTTAGGGTACAAAAAGCTTGAATGGAGATTGTCCTCAATTATTTTGGACCCTTGAACTTATAAATGAAGTGCAAATATGTGTGTGCATGATATAATAAGCATGGATTAATAAAAAATGAACCCAATTTTACAAGTCATAATGAAAATCAGCAGAAAATTATGTTTTGACACCTTAAATTGAATGGGGACTGCCCTCAATTGTAAAAGACCCACAAACACACATCTCAAGTCCATTTATACATGCACAAGACATTAGAACTTGGTTTGAATAAAAAATATATGTGGATCTAAATTTGAGTTGCCCACTTGCCTGAGTTACTCGAGTACCTAGTAGTCATCATAGTCAAACAGGGATAAATTGGTGTATAGTTTTGATAAAAGGTTAAAAAGGGAGGGAAAGTCGTAAATTTTTTGAAATACAGGGGCATAATGGTCAATCACCCTCTATCCATGATATTGAGTTACATAAAAGAAAAGAATTCACAAATCAAGATAACATGAGGAACTTTTTTCTTTTTCTTTTTTTTCTTGTGTTTCCATTTAGACATGATATCATTAAGATAAAGATCAGTTTCTCCATGACCACATGTTCTAAGAAAAGGGACAATTTGGTTAGCGAGTAATAAACAATACAATTCCTGAAGAACAGACCTTCAGCCCTTCTGTTTTATCTAAAGCTACCGTGTTACTTGTTTTAAACATAAGATTGGAAGCATTGAAGATGGTGAGGACGTTTCCAAGACTAGCACAGGGTACTGGTGCCTTTGCAATGTAATTGAAAAATTATTCAGCCAAAAGTTATCTTTGATTATCAAACCAAAAGTAAGAATTCCTCGTAGAAAGGATCCTTTCAGAGAATGCTCCTTTCTCCAATGAATAAATAATGTACATAATTGAAATGACCTACCTTCTGAACAAGTTCAGCCACCTTATCTGGAGTAGCAAAAGCCTGATCCTTCAGAGGTTTAGCCATAACTGACTCTAGCTTTTGATTCTGACCACCTGAAGATAATGCAACTTTGACTGCTGTAACCTACGAAAACAATATGGAAAGTCTGCTAAAGATGTTTCTCTTTTTAAAGGTAACAGAAATAGTAAAATCTTTATAGTGATCGCTGTCTAGAAGCAGTTTTGATACCAAAATAATAATAGGAAGTTACAAGGATATATTAAATGTACTTTAGTAAGAAAGAAAATTTCAGATGCATTATTAAGTCATGAGACTCGCAGCATGTAAATAACGAAAATTGTGTACTAAGAAACGGTTATGCATTACAAGTGCCTCACTTTAAAACCAAGGATCTGTTTTCAGTTGACTAGTTAGTAAAGAAACACATAACTAGGTTGAGAAATACCTTTGTAACAAAGGAGAGCAAAGGATCCACAACTAGCTTAGTAACTGACATGATGAACTCCTCACAAGTGGCTTTAAGGCTTTTTTCCAGCTCCTGAAAGAAAATATATGTGAAAAGGCACCATATAATAGTCTAAATTTTATCACGCAACATATAAAAAATCACTCGAAATTTTTTTCCGAGTAATTAAAGGAGAATCACTCGAAAAAAAATTAGCCAAGATAAGGACAGTAGAGGGGGTGGGGGGTTAAGAGTGGTTAATGTTTTCCTTTAATTCCTCATCTTCACTAATAATTCCATTTTAACAATTCTCCAGTCAATTAATGCTGGGATAGAGACTATTAGCTGCACAAGGAGTTCCGTTCATAATTACATATGACTAAATCTAAAGCTTTGCCCCAAAACAGAGCTCAAAAACCAAATATTTTCTCAAAATCCAAATTTACCCCGCCCCGCCATCACCCCGTCCACCACCACCACCCTGCCGTCACCACTACCATCACAACCACCAAATCTTACTTGCATGATTTATTTTCACATTTCTTTTTTAGTAATTTTATACACAAAAAGTGTTTTTTAATTTTAACATCCAAATAATTTTTTTAGTCAAAAGTGTTTTTCATGTACTACATCCAAATGCAAAATAACTTTAGCTTTTAAAAAAGTCCTTCTACAAAAAACAAGGCATAACAAATCCTTTCCTCAAAAGTCCATCCAAAAGGGTCCATATATGCATATCAAGATCAAATTCATATTGAATGTAAAACAAATGTTCGAGGACCAAATGCCAAAGAAGATAATTTAAACTCTTCAATTTTGACAGGGTT